GCTTGCCTTCATTTTCCTCCAGTCCCTGAGCACAAGGGAACCGCAAAGGAGAAAAACCCCACACCGGCCCCGGCACAGGCAGAGCCAGGAGCTGCAGACCCTGCTGGGAGTGACTGATTTCCGGGTCAGCGCCCCCGCCCCCGGGAGTTCAAGCCCGGTTTCCGTGCCTTCCCGGGGGCTTATCCTCTTCACGGTGGAGGCCGCGCCCAAGGGCCCTTCCCTGGCACAGCTCTGTGTCCTGGCTTCCAGACTCGGACTGACCCAGAATCGGTCTCACGAGGGACCCCGGGAGACGGAGCACAGCAGGATGACTGGGGATTGGCCTTGTTGGGGCAGGGCTGAGTTCCTTGCCGGTGAGACCCGCGGTGCTGCCAAAGCAGGGCTCGCAGTGGCCCCATGGCGGATCCAGCTGTCCCCTGCATCAGAGCGCGATGACCGCCAACTACAGCCACGGCCTTTGGGACCATGAAGCAGCCACCAGGAGGCTGTGGCTGCACCTGGGCCTGCTAGGGCTGGGGCATGGGAGGCACCACCCAGAGTGCCTGGGTGGTCTGAGAGTGAGCAAAGGACCTTGAACGCCCAGCACAGAGTGGAACAGCTTCTGTGAGTGCCCTAAAGGAAGCCTCTCCTTTCTCATAGTCACAGGTGAATGAGCTTAACTCGGGCACAGAAGTGCACTGTGTGCTGGCTGGGTGTGTAGCCACCGGCAAATCCAGTCTCGCCAATTCTAGGAGTTGCCATCTGCATAGAGGACAGTGCCAAAACACCCCTGCAGCACAGCTGCTTCCAGGGCTCGTGCAGGTGACAACCCTCATCAGCGTCAGCTTGACACGAAAGGCTGGTGCTGTGCCGCAGCAGGTCAAGTCTTCAATCCCAATGTCGGCTTCCCTTATGGGAATGCTGGTCAGAGCCCCGGCTGCTCCACTTCCTATCCAGCTCCCAGCTAACAGCCCAGGGAAAGCAATGTAATAGGGACCACACACTTGGGTTCCTGCTGCCTAAGGGGGAGAATGGATGCAGTTCCTGGCTCCTGGCTTCAGCCTGGCACAAGAGCCAAAAGCCAAAGAGGGAAGATCTTCTCTGTGCCTCTTCCTCTCTTTCTGCCACTCAGCTTTTCATAAATAAATCTTAAAAACAAACAAACAAACAAACAAACAAAACATTGACTTGAGGGCTCTAAAGGTCTGTCCCATGAAAGACAGGAGGCTGCACAAGCAGGGTCTACCCAGGAGCCCCCACAGCCTGAAATCCTCCAGCACTCGGGGGCCAGTTCAGACCTGCTGTGGCCTGCCAAGAGCAATGATTTTATAAACTTGGAGACGGGCCCCCCTGAAGGTGGCTGAGTCATCAGAGCTGGCCCAGCCCAGCCTCAGATCTGGGCAGCATTCCCTTAGAGGACTCCATCCCACCTGGGTCACAGCTCTGACGCTGCCCCTCAGCTTCTTCCCCCATGTCCAGCTCCTCCCAGACGTCTCTGCCTGGTGTCCCTGAGAACAGTGTCAGGTGTTTAAAGGTGGGTCTGTCTTCACCACATACCCATCTCCTCCTTCTGGAGATCCAGTGGAAGGCAGTCCATGGCAGCGGGCGCTGGAACCCTGACACAGGGCCTGGCCACACCCACCCCGCTCAGTGCCTTCCCTCATGACGTCACTGCTGGGGGCACTGGGCCTCTCCTTTCCCTCTTCAGCCTGTGGCTCACAGTGGCCACCCCTCTTCCCACAGCCCCTGAGATGCAAGTCCAATTGCACTTGGGGACACCAAGGCCACACAGGTGGGGTTAGCAAAGGACAGATGTGGGCCCCTGAGCAGCCAGGACACAGGCTAGGGTGCTGGCAAGATGGCGAGGAAGAGGGGCTGGCGAGGGCTGCAGACCCCCCCCCCCCATCATGGGTAGATGCCCATTCATTGTTCACTCATCCATTCATGTAGTCTTCCCAGCTGGAAGTGGGGTCTTCACAGTAGGATCTATGACTGAACTCCCAGGGAACCAGGAGACCTTGGCCACATGCCCAGCCTGAGGGCTTCCCAGAGATGAAACAGCACATGCCCATTATCTGTGGCAAACTGGATGGACGGCTCAGTGTGTGCAGAGGGAACGGTGGGGGTGGGGTGGGGTGTGGTGTGGAGGGGAGTGGTTTGCAAGGGTCTGCAGGGGACAGGTGAGGGAGGTCGTGGAAGTCGGAGGGGACTGCTTCCTGCACTGAAGGGAGGGGTGCCAGGCATGGTGGGAAGCACAGCAACACCGGGGACCAACATTGGGCTGCTGGGCAGAGAGAAAACCCACACTGGGGACAGAGGGGAGCGACAAGCTGCCACCCCGTGCCCAGCCTGCTGGCTTCCCCTGGCCCTGCTCTCAGGCTGAAGGACAAGCTGACCTGAGCGGGGAGGCTCCAGGGCCATCCCTGGCTGTGATCACTGGAGGTCACGGCACATTAGAGGCTGTGCACAGGGCAGGCCAGGCCATGCCCGAGGGCCGGGGGCCTTCCTGGGTGCTCTCTGGGCTCCTGATGATCCCAGAGGAAGACCTGAGGGACTTCCCCTCCACACATTCATGCTCACATGGAAATAACAGTAACTGGGACCCCGGAACCTGCCTGAGCCACGGCCCCCTGCCCGCCAGCCCTCCAGCTCCCTGGGCTGCTGTCTTTGTCACCAGAACTCCTGGCCTCCCCAGACCTCTGGCCCACAGCTGAGCACCCCTTGGACACTAGAGTGGTTGAAGGCACCAGACCTGGGCCAGGCCTCCCAGAGGGACTGCTCCACGCCACAGCTCCCAGGAGAAAACATCAGGGAGGAAAGGCGCAGACCTGCATGAAACAGGAAACTCAGCAGCACAGACAAGTGACCCCTGAGCCTCATGGGGCTGTGCCCAGGTCACCTCTGTGACTCCAACACCGTCTGGTCCATGGGACGTTGCCTCATCCCTCCCAGACCACAGTGAGTCTTTCTGACTGCTGGGGGTGACCTTTGTAGTTCTCTGAAGTCACTTTTCCATGCAAGTTTTCAGATGCACTCCACCTAGTGCCCGGCCCCTGCTCAACGTGCAGCCCACAGGCCAGGCAGTCCTGTGCCGGGAGGCGGCAGAGCAGTGAGAGCCGTGACCGGGTCAGGGGAGCATCCATTTTACCGTCAGAGGTGGAAGATGGGGCCATCACTAAGACCCCTCTCCCCTTCCCTCCCCAGAACCACGGACGAGAACAGAAGAGCGGGGCTGGGGAAAGGCCCCATCCCTGCAGCTCGTCCACGTGGGGCCCAAGGGTGCCCCTCCTCTCCAGGTGGCCTCCTTTCAGCTCCCCTTTCAGCTCACTCCCTGCTCTGCCCAAGATGCTCTGGAAGGCCAGGGTGCTGCCAGGGGCCCTGTGGACTAGAGGAGCCCCAGGCACAGGCCGCCCTGTCCTCTGCTGAACAAGTCCCGCCTGCAGCTGTCTGAGGCCACACCTGGCCGATCCCGCACACCATGTTGTTAGGCTTGTGGCCCTCGGGGTCTCCTTGTTCTCCACTGACAATGCAGGGAGACATGGGGCATGGACTGTCGCAGCTCCTCTGAAAGACATCACTCTAGACTAGGAGCTCAGTGCCCACCCCTCCTCTGCATCTGCAACCCTGCAGGGTGTGAGCCGCTCCTGCCCATTCCCCTCCCCCCACCCTGGGAACAGTCATTCTCTTCTCTACGGGGTCAACCTTTTTTGAATCCCCACAGAAGTGACCTGGGGCAGCATTGGTCTTTCTGTGGTGATCCACGTGCAGTCAACTTGATTGAAACATTCCATGGTGTGTACCCAGGAATCCAAACATCATGCTGGCCCCATCCATGTAGACAATCATGATCTGTGCTCATGAGAATGGTGAACAAAGGCTAAATAAAATGCAATGCAATTCAGGGCTCAGTGTGAGGGCCCCTCCTCTCACGAGGCTACAGGGAAACAACTTCTCCAGACTCCCAAGGCCACAGTGAGGAGGAGGCTGGCAGGACACCACACCTGCAGGAGGAAGTTTATTGCCATCCTGCAGAGCCCCTGGCAGCCCTGGCCCCCTGCTGGGACACTTCCTTTCTCTGCTGCTCCCTGGGAGCAGCTCCTGTCTTCTAAATGGTCCTCTCCAGGCAGCAGCAGTTGGCAGATGGGAAGGCGCACTCACGGGCACTGCCCCTGTGGTCCCAGCAATCAGGGAGGCACCAGGCATCAGGACGGCTTTGAGGGGAGGGAGTGGCCTGAGCCCGCCCCAGTGTGGCCCTTCTGCAGCACTGGGCACCAGCTCAGGACAGGGGACCAGAGTGTCTTCGATTACAGCCCATCTTGAAGCCCAGGCCCACCAGATAGTTTTGAGCTTCAGGACCTGGGCAGGACCATGACTGTTATTTCTCCTTCTGGTCCAGTGGAGCCCTTGGCTGGGATCTCCCAGCATGGCCTGGGGGAGAAGCGGCTGTCCTGTTCCAGAGGCCCAGCTGCAAGCCCAGGCCCCCCAGGCATTCGTGTGTTTCCTGTTCCTATTCCTTCTCTGGGTCCTCTCTGTCCCATGCTGAGCCGCTGGTGGCCCATGTCTGCCTCCGTGGGCTCTCCCCAGGGTCACAGGTCAGCAATCCAACAGGTGCTCAAGCTCTAGACTCATATAAGATGGAACCTGGTCATAGCCAGACAGGACGTTGTCCTCCAGCTGCACCCAGTTCTTCCCAACAAAGGGCAACGAGCTTTTCGCCTCAGTCTCACAGTTCCTCACCCAGGACGGCAGCGTCCTGCAAGATGTCTAACTGTTGTCCCTCAGTCGGTCTGCAGCTCAGGCCTGAGCCCGTTAGTTAATATTCAGCCCAGCATCCAAAATGAGATTTTCTGGTTTTAAGTCTCTGTGCACAATGTACTTGCTAAGGCAGTAGTGCACTGCTGGTGATGTCTGACTGAACACCAAGAGTGCCTCTTCCTCTCACAGGTGACCATGCATTGTTTGAGGTCCTCCTTGCTTGCATAGGTCATGAAAATATATGTTCTAGCAGCTGGGTGCCTTACCTGTAACAGCATTCTGATGTCTGGGAGATGCATGCCCTTCATGATATCCCCTCTTGCTGGAAGCTGGAGGAGTCCCAGTCATCTCAGGCAATGATTTTCCCAGCCACCTGGGTCCTGTTTTGCAGATGCTGGCTAGCTCTACTTGGTTGATGGTCTCCATCGAGGACCTCCTCCTCACTGTGGTTTCTATAATTAAATAGTAAAATGACAGCCATTAGGCCTTCCTTATAAGAGATTGCTTTAAATAAAAATGAATTTAAGGGGCCAGCATTGCAGCATAGTGGTTAAAGCCACTGCTTACGACACCGGCATCCCATAAGGATGCAGGTTTGTGTCCTGGCTGTTCCATTTCCAATCCAGCTCCCTGCTAATGGCCTGTGAAAAGCAGCAGATGATCATCCAAGTGCCTAGGCCCCTGCTACCCATGTGGGAAACCTGTAAGAAGCTCCTGGTTCCTGGCAGCCTGGCCTAGTACTGGCAATTGCAGCCATCTGGGGAGTGAACCAGCAGATGGAAGATCTCTCTCTTTGTAACTCTTTCAAATAAATCTTTTAAAAAAATGAAAATGGATTGAAGACTCTAATTAATCCAAAGCAGACTACTACACAGAAGTCAGGAGAACAAATGCTCATGAAGATGTGGAGAAAAGGGAAGCCCGAAACACTGTGGGTGGGAATGCACACAGTATAACCATCATGGGAAACAGGACAGTCCTCAAAACATCTAAACAGAGCTGTTCCCCATGACAGCTTTCCCACTTCTGGGATTATGTCCAAAGAAACTGAAATCAGCATATGAAAGAGATACCTGCCCTCCCACCTTCCCTGCAGCCCAATTCACAACAGCAAAGACATGGAGTCAACCTAGATGTCCATCAGCTGATGACTGGATAAAGAACACGCAGCATGTATACTTGACAGAATATTAGCCATAAAAAATAACGAAATCCTAATATTTGCAAAGAAATCGGTCACAATGGACTTTTTTTAGTATTTATTCATTTTTCCCAAAAAAAAAACCTTTTATTTAAGGTATACAAACTTCATGCATTTCATAAATACACCTTTTGGAATATAGTGATTCTTCCCACCCACATTCCCACGCCTCTGCCTCCTCCCTCTCCTATTCCCGTTCTTATTTACTGAGATCTATTTACAATTAACTTTATTTTTTTAAGATTTATTTATTTATTTGAAAGTCAGAGTTATACAGAGAGAGAGGAAAGGCAGAAAAAGAGAGAGAGGTCTTCCATCCGCTGGTTCATTCCCCAATTGGCCACAATGGGTAGAACTGCGCCCATCTGAAGCCAGGAGCCAGGAGCGTCCCATGTGGGTGCAGGGGCCCAAGGACTTGGGCCATCTTGTACTGCTTTCCCAGGCCATAGCAGAGAGCCGGATTGGAAGAGGAGCAGCCGGAACTTGAACTGGCACCCATATGAGATGCTGGCGCTTCAGGCCAGGGCTTTAACCTGCTGCACCACAGCACCGGCCCCTTCATTGTGGTTTTGATTTGCATTTCCCTGACAGCTAGTGATCCTGAGCATTTTTTCATGTGTCTGTTGACTAGCTGGATTTCCTATTTTGAAAAATCCTGATTAAGTCCTTTCCTTTACCCACTTTTTAACAGGGTTGTTTGTTTTGCTGTTGTTGAGTTTCTTGACCTCTTTATATATTCTGGTTATTAATCCTTTATCAGTTGCATAGTTTGCAAATGATTTCTCCCATTCTGTTGGTTGCCTCTTTCCTGAGTGCTTCTTCTGCAGTGCAGAAGCTTCTCAATTTGATGTAATCCCATTTGTCAATTCTGGCTTTGATTGCTTGTGCCTCTGGGGTCTTTTCCAAGAACTCTGCCTATGTCAATGTCTTGCAGAGTTTCACTGGACATCATTATGCTAAGTGAATATTTGTATACCATATCCCCAACCTACAGAATGCATTTTCCTCTGAAGTGTATGTGAGACTCTCCCCAGGATGGACCACATGTTAAGCCTCAAGTTCAGTCTCAGCAGAAATGAACATCATACAAACTATTGTCTCTGACTATCATGGGCACAAGTGGGAAATCTATCACAGAAGGCAAACTGGGAAATTCACAAAATGCCACAACGTACTCTTGGACTACCACTGGTTCAAGAAGCAATCAGAAGTACACTTAGGAAACACTCAGTCTGGCGCTGTAGCACCGCCTGCAGTGCCGGCATCCCATATAGGCACGCGTCCCGGCTGCTCCACTTCTGATCCAGCTCTCTGCTATGGCCTGGGATAGCAGCAGAAGATGGCCCAAGTCCTTGGGCCCCTGCACCCATGTGGGAGACCTGGAAGAAGCTCCTGGCTCCTGGTTTTGGATCGGCACAGCTCCGACCATTTTGGCCATCTGGGGAGTGAACCAGAGGATCCACCTCTCTCTCCCTCTCTCTCTCTCTCTCTCTTTCTCTTTCTTTGCTTCTCTGTAACACTGCCTTTCAAATAAACAAATAAATAAATCTTTAAAAAAAAGAAAATACTCAGATTGGGGCTGGTGCTGTGACACAGCGGGTAAAGTCCTTGCCTACAGTGTCGGTATCCAATATGAGCGCCAGCTCGAGTCCTAGCTGCTCCACTTCTAATTCAGTTCTCTGTTAATGTGCCTGGGAAAGCAGTAGAAGATGGCCCAAGTCCTTGGGCTGCTGCATGCATGTGGGACACCCGGAAGAAGCAACTGACTCCTGGTTTCAGATCTGCCCAGCTCTGCACCTGCATGGGAGACAAGGAAAAAGCACCTGGCTCCTGGCTTCAGATCAACGCAGTGCACAGGACACAGCGCGCCGGCCGCAGCAGCCATTGTGGGGTGAACCAACGGAAAAGGAACACCTTTCTTTCTCTCTCTCTCTCTGTCCACTCTGCCTGTCATAAAAAGAAAAAATGCAGTCTTACTCAACAGGGAGTGCCACTGTTTCACCTTCACCTCTGAAGTTTATTTTCCCTGGCCATTTGGGAAGTGAACCAAGGACTTGGGCCCTCCTCCACTGCTTTCCCAAGCCATAGCAGAGAACTGGATGGGAAGAGGAACAGCTGGGACTCGAACCAGCGCCTCTATGGAATACCAGCACTGCAGGCAGCAGCTTTACCCACTACACCACAGCGCCGGCCCCTACTCTACTTTCAGTCCAGCTCTCTGCTATGACCTGAGAAAGCAGAAGATGGTCCAAGTCCTTGGGCTCCTGCACCTGTGTCGGAGACCTGGAGGAAGCTCCTGGTTTGGTCTAGCTCAGCCCTGGTTGATGTGGCCATCTAGGAAGTGAACCAGTGGATGGAAGACCTCTCTGCCTCTGCCTCTGCCTCTCTGTAACTCTGCCTTTCAAATAAATAAATAAATAAATAAATAAATCTTAAAAGAAAAAAGAAACCACAAACAGCTTTAAAATTTTTTATATCCAAAACTACACTAAATATTAAGTCTATTTTCCTGTAAAGTTTTTATGCTTTTTAAAGACTTATTTACTTATTTCAAAAGGCAGGGAGTTGCACATAGAGAGAGAGAGACAGAGCTAGAGGGAGAGAGAAATCTTCCATCTACTACTGCACTCCCCAAATGTGGAGCCTACAGGTTTCTTTGTAGTCCCTGCTGCTTCTGCTAGTTATCATTTGTAGTGTCTTATGTAACAAGTCTACTCCCTGCTTCTGAACTTGACTTTGTGTTTGAAAAGAAAATGGAGAAATAATTTGAGGCCAAGGATTTATCTTCCTTCAAAATGGGATTTGTTTTCTTCTGATGGGTGCAGGGGTAGTACTAATCCAAGATCCCCTTAGGCCAACTTCAGAAATCTAAACTGCCTTGTGTACATCTACCCAGGTGACAAGGAGAGTTGTAATTGTTTGAAGGCTGTTTTACTTTTGGTTCCTACTGTGTGGACGGAATTCCACCAGACTCTGGCAAGCCTGAAACTGAATTTTTACCTTTGGAGCCAAAAGTTCTGTTCAGCCTCTCAGAGATCTCTTCTAGATTAGGAAGATGCAGCACCAAATGCTGAAATCCTCTCTCTGGATTTCTTCTTCCTCAGTCTCAGGTCAGGAATGCAATCTGTCTATTGTCTTTATAGCTCTCTAATGGCTTTAAGAAAATACTTTGGCTATTTTCTCTCTTTTTTTTTTTTTTCTAGTTATCTATCACAGCATTAGTCCTAACTATTTTGTCATTACTGGAAGTCTTTTATCTTTTGAGAAATATAAGAGTTCAAACTTCTAGTACAGTTTAAGGTTTGCAGGAGAGGCCAATGTTGTAGCACAGTGGGTTAAACTGCCTCCTGTGACACTGGCATTCCATGTGAGCACCAGCTCAAGTCCCAGCTGTTCCATTCCTGAATCAGCTCCCTGCTAATGCACTTTGGAAAGCAGAAGATAGCCCAAGTACTTGGGCCCCTGCACCCAAGCCGGAGAGCTGGAAGAAGCTCCTGGTTTTGGCCTGGCCCAGTTCTGGATGTTGTGGCCATTTGGGGAGTAAACCAGCAGATGGAACATCTCTCTCTCTCTCTCTCTCTCTTTCCCTCTCCTTCTCTCTCTGTAACTCTTTCAAATAACATATATCTTTTTAAAAAAATGCTCAGAACTGATTAGAACTTTGCCTGAAGGTACCACTTTTCAGGAAGCCTGCAGCTCTTCATGGGCCTACAGTCCCATTCAATTCCACGTGGGCCGGCGAGTACACCAACAGATCCTCTCATTTTCTGCCCATGGAAAGACAAATGATTATAAGCATGTTGGAAAGCAATTTGATGATATTCATCAAATATTCAGTGCAAACCTTCAGCCCAGCAATTCTACTTGGAATCCAGGTTACAGAGAAAAGCCCACATATGAATACAAATATATATACATAGAAGAACAAACACCTACGTGTAAGACCTGAGTCTGAAACTCCTGGATGAGAACAGGGGAAATGATTCAGGATACTGGAATGCTCAAGGACGTTTTGGGCCAGACACAAAAAGCATAGAAAACAGTGAAAACAGACCAAGAGGTTTCATCAAACTGAAGAGCTTCTGCACAGCAAAGAAAATGCTCAACAAATTGAACAAACTACAGGATGGGAGAAAATATTGGCAAGGTATGTATCTCACAAGGGTTAATAACCAAAATTTACAAGGAATTCCAGTAGCAAAAGGAATCTGACTAAAAAATGGGCAGCAGACCCAAACATTCCTTAAGCAA